ATCAACATTATGGGATGCAAAAAAAATGTCCATTATGCAAAATTCAACAAATGTACTCTAACATTAATACAGTAATTAAAAAGCACTGATACATTTGTATGTTTCTACAAAATAACTTTAAAATTATACAATATAACAACAATGTTAAAATAGATCAACAAATCTTCAATTAAACTACAAAATTAAGACAAATAATCTCACATTATTTCAGTGCTTAAAAACATAGATACATATGCAATTTATATACAACATTTCTACAAAATCTACACATCAAAAAAAACCACAGAGTTGTAGATGTTTACCAACTAAAACAGGCGAAATAAGTACCGAAGAAATTAAAAAATTCTTACCTTCACCAGTGAGTGTTTTCGAACATTTTGAAGAGTTTTAACACCAGGGGCTTTTTTTGAATTTTTCTTCTTTTTGGGAGTTTTTGAACTGGGAGCCACCTTAGCTTTCTTTCCAGGTTTACTGATAGGCACATCTTCTACAAAATCATCATCTATAACTATCCCTTTTCATTTCCTATCCGCTTGTTTGATTGGCCTCAAAGATTCTCCAACACCGAAATCATGTTTTTGTTTAGTTCTAGCTTCAGCCCTGATTTGACGAGGAGAAACACTATGCTTCATATCTACAATTGCATGTGCAGATTTTCCTTGCTTTGGGGGTGAACGTCGTGATAATACACCCAAATCGAAAGAAGGTACATCAGATTCTACATCTTTTTAGGGCAGTGTTTTGAAGTTTTGTTCTCCTTCATTGAGAAATTTTGAAGCTCAAGTGGAATGAAAAGTGTGTATGAATGAAATTGAAGATTTAATTTCAATTTTGACTGGGTTTGTATAAGAAACTTCAGCAGTGGGTTTGAAGCTTTGTTTTTCTGGTTTTAACAGAGGTAAAAATGGCTAGAATCGTGTGTGTGTGTGTCGTAATACGTGGGTGGGGTCGTGGGTTTAGGAGAGAGAAACGTGGAAGGGAGGGGGGGGTATGGAGGAATATACGGTACCTTTAATTTAAGAGTGATATAAGGTACAATTAATGTACAGTAAAAACACCTTATGGTATAGAATTGGTAATTAGATATACTAAATGTAATTAAATCAAATCTTAAACATTGAGGGTAATATAGTTTCCTATATGGGATAGGATTGTAAAAATTCCTTTATCCAATAGACTTAAATTCGTGATCTTCATTCAACATCTCAACTAGAGCTTTAGTATCCCATCACCGTATGGCGTATGACTAGTTTTAATAAGGTTTTTCGATGCTTAAACAAACATATTATTAAAGTGAACAAAAGATAAATGGTCAAGGAGATTTGCTACCAAGATAGAGAATTTCTGCTGCTCGACCAATATTGGTTGAAAAACAAATTCCCCAATATTTCTCTCGAATATGCTAAAGTTATTTGAATTAATGTATATCGACTTTCAGGAACTTAAAACAGCAGTCTCATAAAAATACTTAAAACAAATTGCCCTCAAGGATAAACTATTATATATTGTCAAATATTTTCTAATTTTGAATCTTGGGATGTTTCCAAACGGAGCCAAAGGGAGATGTATTTATTTAGTTAATAAAAATACAATTTGGTTGAAAGAAAAAAAAGGACTCAATTGGATAATACAAGGACGAAAAGAGGTTGAGGGTTAGCTCACGGTTGAGGGGAGGGTTTAGACCTTATTAATTAGGAATTTTTACACCCTATAGAAAACCTTAGTACCCTATTTATTTTAAATAAATACCATTTTAAAATATTACATCCTATAAATATTTTTTATCCTTTATTGCAAAAAATCTACATATAGTTACATCCTACAATTAAGGCACCATATATGCTAAATATTATTTTTCTCTCTCCCTTTTTGTATTTTCTCTCACATAATTACCGCGTATTTGCAAACCCCAATACAATCTCTCTCTATTTGCATACAACCAGACTCTCTTCTCCCACAAACCCTAGTTTCTTAATTCTTCTCCCACCCAAATTCTCAATTTTCTGCTCCGCGTCACCAACGTTATCTATGTGCATATTCGATAAGAAATACAGATTGGAATTACTAACCGTATTTGTGGAGGTTTTGAGCGGAGACCCAATTCACTGCTGGAGTCAAGAAAGAACGTAACCAAAACCCCATTTGTAATTGGAGTAGCTATTGATTTATTCTTCTCACCATAGCTTCCGTTGGCTTTGTTCCACTTCTTGACTGGAATTGGCAGCAACTTTCTCGTTGAGTTCAAGCTTGAGGATTGAGTTTTTACTTGTAAGTGTAATGTGAAAAGGGAAAAAAACAAGGAATTTGCCTCATGGCTGACCAGCCGGAATTAATGGCTGGCCGCCGGCCGGCGAAGCCATAGGGCTGTTTCTCTATCTAGATCGCCCAAATCGCCTATTTGTATTCAGTTGTATTCAAATGTATTCTTCAGCTGTATTCACTTGTATTCAGGTTTAACCAGTTGTATTTAACTATTTTATTCAGCAGAAGTTAGTTGTATTTTGTTGCATTCAAGAGTTTATTCAGCTGTATTCAATTGTATTTTTGTTGTATTCAAGTGTTTTATTCAGATGAATTAAGGTGTATTTTGTTGTATTCAACTGTATTATTCATATGTATTTCTCTTTATTCAACTATAATCTTTATTATGTATCTTTCAAATACAGATTAATGAGGGATCGTTTTAGTTCGTTGAGTTAAATTAGGAGAATATCATGTGATTTTATTTTCTTCCGTTTTTAGCGCAGATACGTTACTGTATTTAATGTTAATGTCGCTTGAATACAACTAAATACATGTCAAACTTAGCTGGAATTCCAGATTTTACGCCTATATTTTTGGTTGTATTAATGAATACAACAGCTTAAATACATGAAAACATTGTATAAAAACATAAAAGGTATTTATAACACGTAATATAGCAAAGGATATCTATAAATGGCTAATTAGACCAAAAAGATAGTGCTTTTTGAAAAATTCCCTATTAATTACTCCGTCCGGTCCAAAATAAGTGTTTTTTTGGCCTTTATTTTGTTGTCCAAAATAAGTGATTTTTCCAAATTTCAAGAATGAATTAATTATTTTTTTCCTACATTGCCCTTGGAGTAAATAGTATTGGAGTATGTGTTAGGAGTATTTATGTGAAGAGATAATAAATGTTAATATGGTCAATTTCATTGCTAATTAATATTAAAAGGTGAATTTCTTAATCTGTGTGAAAACAACTAAAAAATCACTTATTTTGGACCGGAGGGAGTAGTATATCATTTCCTTCCCCTTCCCCTTTCCCCTCTTCCCTTTTCTAATCTAATAAAAGTTTAAAATAAAATCGGTCAAAAAAATAATATCTTTTAAAAGAACTTGCGTAATTTTTATACTTCACCTATGATCAACAATTCAAGTTATAAATGTTTAACACATGATCCATTGGTTGCCAATAATTTCTCCAAATCTATGCATAGTGGTAAAAGATTGCTTTCATAGCTAAAAATTGTTTCCTTCCATGTGAAACGGATTTTATCGTACAAAATAGAGAATGTAAAACATTATAAAGAAAAGAATGTGAAAACACATGGCTATATGAGAATTTACATTATTATAGAAAAACAATAGAACATGAATTATGATGAAAAAATAAGAGAGTAAAAGCCTTGTATAATACAAAGCCGGCTAGTACTATATATATTATTCTACATAATTCCTCTTTTCTTTAGTTTTCCCTACTTTATTCACTTGAATAAATTATAACTCTGACTTGAACTCTTCAATCTAGAAACATTTAGCAGATTGTATTCACTCCTTTTTAATTTTATTGATCATCCTTCATTGCTAAAATACTAAAGGAGTTTTGCTTTTGGAATGTTCTTGCTTTATTTTTTTCTTTCTTAGGGCAAGTGACACTTCCCGATTAATCTTATTCAAAGTAAGACGTGTTGATCATGAATCAAACCATAAGCTTTGACGCTTATACCATATTCTTTTAGGAAAAATAATTGATTTGTAATATTACCAATTCCCTTCTTCAAGGCAAGCCCATGATTGAATAGAAGAACAAATATACTAATTTGTCTTCACACGTAGTAACAAATTAATTCTTTAGTACTATAACTTACTTTACAAGAATAAAGTTTGGTATAGTGTTGAGGAATAACTATTCTCGATATGCAACATTTAATTTAATACTATGAATAATGCAAATGAAGCACTAATCATTTCAAAGACACAGTTGTATCTGTCGACAGGTAATTTGCTTCAAAAATCCGTTAGATGAAACTGAAAGGCTTATACTCTGAACGTTATTCTCATTCTTCATGCAACAAACAACTCCATTAAAGTTCCTTAAAAAACAAGAAAATAAAAATTAAGAGAGTTAAACGAAAAGCTTCATGAAAGACAACGTAGACATAGACACGCGTACCATTATCAACCTATTAGGTTACTATCATACAAGAAAATGTGTACAACAAGTACTAGTAGCTTTAATTTTGTGAATGTACATATGTACTCTCTCTCTCTCTCTCTAGATCTCTCTCTTGGGTTTAGACTTAAGGTACACGTGAGAAGATGAAGGCAAAGAAAGAGAAATGAAAGCTTCTTGGGGTGGTAATGGTGATGATGAAAGTGATGGTTTGTGGGGTTGTTTTTTAGAAAAAGATTATTATTAATTGCGAGAAAGAAAAAAAAATAAAGAAATGGGAAATTAGTTGGTTAAAGAAAATAATATAGGTGGAGTGGAAAACGGATTGAGGGGGACCTGCCAAGAAGCTATGGTGAAAGAGGGAGAGAGAGAGAGTGATGGTTGGTCTTCTTGTCTTTGACTCTTCCAGTCTTTATCGTTGCAGTTTTCTTCACTCACAAGGTAATCATCATATGTGTATGAGAAATGGAACATATTTTGCTTCCACTTCACATAATCTTTTTTCTTTTTTTTCTCTCTTATATTTCATTCTCTTTCTTATTATACCATTCTATATAGCTTCTTCATACATTTTCACCATCAAAACCTAGATAGTTGGAAGAAGAAGAAGAAGGAATTAATTCATCATATCAAAACATATTCCATCTTCTTATTCTTCTAATGAGGAAGCCAGATCATCCATCAATATTAATGAAGGAGAAAGGGAATAATAACAATAGTAAGGCAAAACTAAGGAAAGGGTTATGGTCACCAGAGGAAGATGAGAAGCTGATGAATTACATGTTGACAAATGGGCAAGGATGTTGGAGTGACATTGCTAGAAATGCTGGCTTGCTAAGGTGTGGCAAAAGCTGTCGTCTCCGTTGGATTAATTACTTGCGACCTGACCTTAAACGTGGCGCCTTTTCTCCTCAAGAAGAAGAACACATTGTTCATTTGCATTCCATTCTTGGAAATAGGTACGTAATTCTTTCACATTTTCTTAATTCTACTCTCTCAAGTTTAACAATGTAGGGTTTTAGAGGCAGTGAAATGTTTTAAGACTTGTGGGGTACGTAGCTAAAGAATGGAAGTAAGATTATAGGTATTTAATTAACCTAGCTATACTTATGGAAAATCTTCCACACAGTTTAATAGTATAAGAATTTAAGTTATATATTTTCTAACACCATCAATGTAATTTTACCTGTTATAATAGGTAACATACCATTTATTATAGATTATCAATCAATGCTCTATTAATTAAAGTTACATGTAATTATATATCTTTCAAGTGATATTATTGTATAAATACGTTTTTATATTATCAGTGTATAAAACATTGTATAGTGTATGTTCGCCGTTTACCTTACAAATCATATGAAGAAGGATGAAATCGTTGCCAATAGTTACCCAGTCAGCTGAAAATTTGAAGAGGTGGACCAAATTAAGATAAACTCCTAGTTCACCTTAATTAAGAAAATTTTGGAAGAGACTGTCATGTTTCATTGGTCTTTTCCTACCCAGTCGTCATTTTCTTTTATGTAATGCATTATAAATCTTCATTTACTAGGGGGGGGGGGGACACTACCCGACCCGCACGAATCTAACCATATCATGCACCCCG